AAAAAAAAAAAAAAAAAAAAACGGCACACATGACACACACAAGTTTGTGGGAGTGGTCCAACTTGAACCGTTCGCTCGCCCGTCTGCTCGCCCCATTGTCAGACCCCTCTCCCACGTCACCCTCACCCCAGACCCCCCCTCACCCTCCGTCCCTCCTCCATTACATCCTCGTCCCCGTCCCGGCAGGCCTCCCCCCTCGTCTCCCTCCCGCGATGAAAGTTCAAGAACTGAAAAAAGAAAAAAAACAAAAAAAAAAACAGAGAGAGAGAGAGAGTGAGAGAGAGAGAGACAGGGAGAGTCGCCTGTCTGTCCATTGCCACCTGTGCCAGACCCCCCTCCCTCGTCGCCCTTCCCCCAGTGTCCCACTCACCCTCCATCCCTCCTCCTTGACTACCTCCTCCCCGTCCTGCCAGCGGGAAACGAACACCTTGATACTGCCCTCCGAAGTTCTCCAACAGCAGGCCCTTCAGGGCCGGTCCGGTTGGGGCGACGGTCCACGAAAAACAACGCCAACATGGATCGGGATCTGGACGTCCGGTTGGCAACCATGGTTCAAATACAGACCTGAGTTTGAATCCAAACGGAAATGCATGAATGGAATTCTTGAATTCCCTCGGGCCGGTCAGCTCCACGATGTTATCTCAAGGCCGTTGCCCCCCCCCTTTTTTTTTTTTTGTCAACAAACAACACACAGCCCCTTCTATTCTGGGGGGCGTCAGTCCGGTTGCTAATCACCGACAAGCATGTTTTACAAGCAATGGGGAAGCAAAGACAAGAAAAGAGGAGGAACAGCCATGCCCTTGTGGCACGAGCCGCCTGAGCAAGGGGGGGCTGCTACAGACCGTCCCAGCCCCAACCCATAGCCCTACCTCATGGATTGCCTTGCAGGTCGGGAAGCTTACTAGCAGCAACCAGGCATGCAGCAGTGTAATCCTGAGGAGGGCAGGGCACATGGGGGGTGGGGTGGTCCCAGCAGTCCCTCGGCCACTTGTCACCCACACTATCATCCTCAGTCTTTACGACCCTTGCATCTCTCTAATGCAACCCTTATAAGGCCGCTGCCCTTTTTAAAAAAGGGACTATTAAGAAAAGAGACATTTAGAGTCCTAACATGTGCGCTTGGATACCTTGCTTGTATGGACTCTGGAGCTTTCACATTCATCGTCCATGAGAGAGGGACTGTTCTTGAATTTTTGAATTTTTGAAAATGGTTGGCTTTGAGGTCTTGGATTCTTCACTACCGTTCCCTTTCTTAACTTCTCACAAAACTTTCAACCAGATCAGGAGCATACAGAATTATCGAAGAGAAATTAATAAATTATGGTTAAATTTTGAAAACAATCCAGGGGACTTCAAAGTTTAGAAGAAGACATGCACAGCTTACACGTACCATTGGCATAATGTTGCAGGAGAAATTGTAGACGGTCTCATATGGATTATCGTTGTTCTGAATATGCAGTCGGAGAAGCCGCAAAAGCACATCTCCCTGCAGGCATATCACCAAACCATGGCCACAAAAATTCACAGAAAAATTCGAAAATCATATTGAGGTAAACCTTCAGAAAATTTGCAGAGAGAAGAATCGTTCTGCATTCCCAACATGAAGATTTCATGGAATTTTTCTCAAACATAATGTGCAGCTTAAAGTTTCCAAATTGATAAGCTTTCCAAAAAAGGTGCAGGGAGGCATTGAGAATGCTCTTCTACTTAGTGTTGCACACCCTGACGGCTGGCGCCCCTTGACTGGTTGGATGCCAACCAGCCAACCGGTCAGCTGGTCGGCGCCTACCGGTCGGGGGACCTCGGCACCCCGGCAAGAAACAGTAAAAATAGAAAAAATTGGGTCCAGAACCCCCAATAACCTCACCAACACCCCCATACCCGCCCCCAATACCCCCATACACCTGCTCAAAACCCCCAAACCGCCCCCCAACACCCTCACATACCCCCTATACCACGCCTATACCACGCCTATACCCCCCTATCCCCCCCCTATACTCCCTCCCCAACCCCCCCACCCCCATACCCCCCATTCCCCCCCATACCCCCCTCATCCCCAAAAGTTTCTCAGTGGACTTTGGCTGTACTCAGCAAGCGCAGTAGCGGCAGTACAGCCCCCAACTCGGATTTACAAAAAAATCAGTGAATGGCTGTTTTCTGACTGATCGGCAGGCCACTCACTGGTCGGCTGCAATACCGTCGGGGGTACGGATCGGCGGTAGGAGTCGGTGGTCGGCAGCTATGCAACCCTGCTTCCACTACTACTTCCAAGCATAATAAAGCAGGTCTGGCATCCAGCAGTGCCTGCACTGCCAAGACTGCAAGAGCCCAGTGGGCGGCCCATGAAGTGCATAGCCTTATGCAACGGCGCCCATGCATGGTCGTTTTTCGTTTTCGAATCGTGCACGGTTGTTTTTCTTGGATTGCACTGCTCCCCCCTTTTTCTGTGTAACACTCCAGCCCTGAACCGACGACTTGTGGCTGTTTTTTTTTCTCCTTGTTGTGGTTCAGCTGGCCAAGTGGGTGGTCGGCAATGCTCGGCATCCCTTTCTTTTCTGCGATGGCTGGCCTTCTTTTTTTTTCCTGCCAAGTCGGTCCTTTCTTCTTTCCAGTTGGACTTTGGCCCTGAACCAATGCACAAGCAGTTTTCGC